CTATGCGCTGAAAACTATAGACAGCTTATGAAAGAAATTGAAGAAGACACAAAAAAATGGAAAAAGATTCCATGCTCCTGGATAGGAAGAGCAAATACTGTTAAAATGTCGATACTACCCAAAGCAATCTACATATTCAAAGCAATCCCTATCAAAGTAATACCAGCATTCTTCACAGAGCTAGAACAAATAATCCTAAAATTTGTATGGAACCAGAAAAGACCCTGAATAGCCAAAGCAATCTTGAAAAAGAAAACCAAAGCAGGAGACATCACAATCCCAGACTTCAAGCTATACTGCAAAGCTGTAATCATCAAGACAGTATGGTACTGGCACAAGAACAGACCCTCAGATCAATGGAACAGAATAGAGAACCCAGAAATGCACCCACAAACGTATGGCCAAATAATCTTTGACAAAGCAGGAAAGAATATCCAATGGAATAAAGACAGTCTCTTCAGCAAGTGGTGCTGGGAAAACAGGACAGCGACATGCAGAAGAATGAACCTGGACCACTTTCTTACACCAGTCACAGAAATAAACTCAAAATGGATGAAAGACCTCAATGTAAGACAGGAAGCCATCAAAATACTAGAGGAGAAAGCAGGCAAAAACCTCTCTGACTTCGGCCGCAGCAACTTCTTACTCAACACATCTCTGGAGGCAAGGGAAACAAAAGCAAAAATGAACTACTGGGACCTCATCAAGGTAAAAAGCTTCTGCACAGCGAAGGAAACAATCAGCAAAACTAAAAGGCAACCGACAGAATGGGAGAATATACTTGCAAATGACATATCAGATAAAGGGTTAGTAGCCAAAATCTATAAAGAACTTATCAAACTCAACACCCAAAAAAACAAATAATCCAGTGAAGAAATGGGTGAAAGACATGAATAGACACTTCTCCAAGGAAGACATCCAGACGGCCAACCGACACATGAAAAAATGCTCAACATCACTCATCATCAGGGAAACACAAATCAAAACCACAAACAGATACCACCTTACACCTGTCAGAATGGCTAACATTAACAACTCAGGCAACAACAGATGTTGGCGAGGATGCAGAGAAAGAAGATCTCCTTTGCACTGCTGGTGGAAATGCAAGCTGGTGCAGCCACTCTGGAAAACAGTATGGAGGTTCCTCAAAAAACTAAAAGTAGAACTTTCCTACGACCCAGCAATTGCACTGCTAGGCATTTATCCATGGGATACAGGTGTGCTGTTTCAAAGGGACACATGCACCCCCATGTTTATAGCAGCCCTATCGACAATAGCCAAAGGATGGAAAGAGCCCAAATGTCCATGGATGGATGAATGGATAAAGGAGATGTGATACACACACACACACACACACACACACACACACACACACACAATGGAGTATTACTCGGCAATCAAAAAGAATGAAATCTTGCCATTTGCAACTACATGGATGGAACTGGAGGGTATTATGCTAAGCGAAACAAGTCAGTCAGAGAAAGACAAAAATCATATGACTTCACTCATATGAGGACTTTAAGAGACGAAATAGATGGACATAAGGGAAGGGAAACAAAAATAATATAAAAACAGGGAGGGGGACAAAACAGAAGAGACTCTTGAATATGAAGAACAAACAGTGTCGCTGGAGAAGTTGTGGGGGGGGGGTGGGCTAAATGGGTCAGGGGCATTAAGGAATCTACTCCTGAAATCATTGTTTCACTATATGCTAACTAATTTGGATGTAAATTTTAAAAAAATAAAAAATAAAATTTAAAAAATAAAATAAATTCCGAAGATGTTTACATTTCCCCCTAAACACATTTTCTTCACTAATCACCGTACCATTGCCTCATTCTAAAAATTCAACAATTTCTCAGTATCACCTGATATCTAGTCCATAGTCAAGTGTCTTCACCTGCCCCATAAACGTCCTTTCACGTTTGGTTTATTTGAACCAAGATTCACGTTACTTTGGTTGTTGTCTCTTTTAATTTAGAATAGTTCTCTCGTGTTCACTCACCCCCTACCCCTTCCCCTTTCCACAGGTCATCTCTCTCTCTGTGTCTGTCTCCCTAAGTCTAAAGATCATGTTTAAAGGCTTCTGCCCTGTGGAGACATCTAGAATGAAGTCCATCCTGTCAACAAGCTGCTGGACAGGTTGGCTGTGTTCTGGTGACAGTGTGTTCATTCACCTGTTAAGCCCAGAGCATCCCAGAAAACTCCAAACAGTGCACCTCAGTCAGTTTTAAAGCAAATATTCATCAGGTGAGCTTAACTTCAGCCCCATTTTTTAAAACAGGTTTATTGAGATACAATTTACAAACCAGACAATTCACTCATTTTGGTGTAAAACTGAATGGCTTTTAACATATTCACAGATGTTGCAAAACCATCACTACAATAAACTTTAGGAACGTTTAAACACCTCAAAAAGAAACTCTGTATTTTTTAACTATCACCGCTCCCTGGCCAGTTGCCCCCCAGCACACATTTCTGCCACTAATCTAGTTGGGGTTTTCTAGATTTCTCTATTCTGGGTATTTTACGTGAATGATATCACAGAGTATGCGGCCTTTGTTGTGTCTGGATTCTTTCACGTAGAATAAAGCTCGCAACATTCCTCCAGGCCGCGGTGTGTATGGAGACTTCATTGTTTGTTATGTATGAAGATATTCCGTTGCTTAGATATGTACACGTTTAGTTCATTCACTTCTCCGTCGATAGACATCTGGATGGTCTTTTTGTTTTGGCCACTAGAAATAATACTGCCGTAAATATTCATGTACAAATTTCTGTGTGGACGTATATTGTCGTTTCTTTTGGATAAACACCCAGGATTGGAATTGCTGGGTCCTGTGACAACTCTCTGTTTCATCTTTGGAGGAAATCCCAGGCTGTTTTCCAAAGTGCTTATGTCACTTTCTGTTCCCACAAGCCGTGTGTGAGGGTCCTGCTACTCAGACCCTTTGTTCATTTTTCAATTGTGTTATTTGCCTTTTTGTTATTGAGCTGCAAGAGTGCTTCATACATGCTAGAAACAAGTCCCTTATCAGACACATGGTTTGCAAGTAATTTTTCCTATTCTATGAGTTGTCCTTCACTTTCTTGAAGGTGAGACCCCCTTTCACAACTGCCCCTACAAGTCCTCGGGTGCCAACGTCCTGGGGCTGCCACCGTCTGCTTGTTTCCAGACCCAGAACCCAGTTATCAACTCGTTCAACTGTCACTTTCATCATTTCTCCTTTTCCTCTCCTCTCCTTGACCTTTTAACCACTAGAGGCACCAAGCCGGGAGGCTGAAGATTTGTTTTCTTAATCAGAATCCCTGACTGATTTTCTCTGTAGGGTCGGCAAGGTGTTCCCTCCACCTGGGTCTCAATACAGATACAATCATTGCTTTGATGCAATGGCTGATTTGGGTCTATCTCTCAGTTTGCATCTTCATTGTAACCTCCTCGGGAAGAGCGTGTAGGGGTATTTATCACTAATTACCACAATTTTAATTAACTAACAGTAACTAAGTATAAATCAATTGTAATTTTAATATTTATATTCTCAACTCTTTCCAACCAGCCTAAGTGCAGGAACTAGACAGTATCTGTTTTGTTCATCCTTCTGTGGCCTTAACAGACACGTGATGTATGTAGTCAGAGCTAAATAAAGAGCTGACTGGAAAAGATGGGTGGTTGGATGGGTACCTTTCCGATAGTACGAATATCAACTTTGGGATTTTCATAGAAAGTTCTATAAAACTGCAAGTTTTCTAATAGTCAATACTTGACTTTATATTAACAGTAGACATTCAGATGCATGATAACCTCTAACACCAGCTAATAATTCAATCACCATATATGTCATATGTTAAGCTATAGGATTATTTTTCACATATTCTCATTTGTTTAAGGACATAAGTAGCTTGAAATAGAATAAAGAAGATGTCCAATGTAAAAAGTAATCGTATTTCTTGCTAGTGGTTAGACTCCTACACTCTCCCTGTGAATGGATGTCAAGGCCACCAAGACTGACATGCACAACCAGGCAGAACCCAAGTGCAGTCAGCTAGCTGACTTCTCAAGTACGTCCTCTGGCTCCCTGATTCCTGTCCTTTGGGGAAAAGTATCTGGGAAGTACTTTTGCTTAATGACATTTTCCTGGGTATTGTTCTAAGGCTCAGAGTAATGATGAGAGGTTTGGGGCAGATACACACACGCACACACACACACACACACACACACATTTATATGTATACACACATATATACATATACATACATGTATATATATATATATTCTTTTTGAAAGAGAGAGAGCATGAGTGGGGACGGGGCAGAGAGAGGGGGAGAGAGGATCCAAAGCAGGCTCTGCCCTGACAGCAGCAAACCTGATGTGGGGCTTGAACTCACAAACTGTGAGATCATGACCTGAGCCAAAGTTGGACTCTCAACCAACTAAGCCATTCAGGTGTCCATATATATATATATATGTATATATATATATATATATACATATATATATATATATAGTTATCAGTTGTATCCCAGACACTTTACCTGTGGTATACAGACCTTATCACTAACTCGCAAAATAACCTTCAAAAGATAGTTTTAACAAATGGTGAAATTAAGACTCAGAGAGTTTGAGTTACTCACTAAAGATCACGTCATCAAAGTAACTGAATGAATTAGGACTTAAACCCGCATGTATACAGTCAAAAACACGCTGTCCTCTACTATACCGGTGTTTTCCATTTCAATACACAAACAAATGGTATACATGCAATACCATTTAAGTGTAAATGGTACACGAAAAAAAAACAGTTATTTTTTGTTCTAAAATGTATCTCAATATTATTCAATATTATTGTTTAGAATACGAGTAAATGTATTTACATTAAATATTTATCAAATTTACTGTATATTGATGTATAGTAGGTAAGGCCCAGATGTGACGAAATTCCTATGTATGGTATACAAACATCTGAGATTTGAAAACCACATTCCAATCTCTGGTCTCTGGCCGCATGTGGCTCCAGTGTGGCGGTTATGTAGACGCTGAGAGCCAGGCAACACTTGCCCCAGTTCTGTATCCCACGTAGAAAGGCACTCAATGCTTGACTTCTCATCTGCGGTGACTGGCGACCCCCTGGGTCACCGTACCTCATCTTCTCCCTTGGCCTGCCTTCCCCACCTTCACATCAATAAGTATCCCTGACCTCTTCAACTGCCTCCTGACGGCCTCCTTAATATCCTTGTTGCGCAAGCTATAGACGAAGGGGTTGAGGAAAGGTGTGAGCACCGAGTAGATCACAGCCAGGGCGCGGTCATAGTCCAGTGAGTAGCTACTCTTCAGCCGCACATACATAAAAAGGATGCTCCCGTAGAAGATGAGAACCACGGTCAGGTGGGAGGCACAGGTGGAGAAGGCCTTGGTCTTGCCTGCAACTGAAGGAATCCTGAGCACCGTGCGGACGATCTGGACATAGGAGCTGAGGATCAACAGGAAGGTGGCCAGGATCTTGCAGGAGTTGATAGCAAAGTCCACTAGGACGTTGATAGATGTGTCGGTACAAGCCAAGCTCAGCACGGGCGGGAAATCACAAAAGATGTGCTGAATGCGATTGGGGCCACAGAAAGGGAGACGGGACACCAGGGAAATCTCAGCCACCGGCCCAGCCAGACCTCCCAGCCAACAGCCAACGGCGATCTTGGCGCAGCGTGCTGGGGTCATGAGGGTGGAGTAGTGGAGGGGCCGGCAGATGGCTAAATACCTGTCATAAGCCATAGCTGTGAGGAGATAGCACTCAGTGGCCCCAAGAGAGTGAAAGAAGTAGATTTGCAGGAGGCATCCGGAGAAAGAAATGGTCTTCTCCTCCCTGAGCAGGTTCGACAGCATCTTGGGGACGGTGGCAGCCGTGTAGCCAAGCTCCAGCAGGGAGAGGATGCTGACAAAGTGGTACATGGGTGTGTGGAGCTGGGAGTCCAGGCAGACCACTAGGAATACCAGCAGGTTTCCCAGTACGGTGGTGAGATAAATTAGAAGTAACAAGACGAAGAGGTAAGCCTGGATACCCTGGAGATGGGGGAAGCCCAAGATGACGAACTCTGTTACCTGGCTCCAATTCCCAGCACTCATGGCTCACCATTCATATTCCTAGACTGTGGGGCATGGAGGGATGAGGAAGAAAGTTGAACCACAGAAATCTTAAGAACAAGACCCGTCAAAGGACTTTATCTCCCCTCTGCCACCTCCAGAGTAAAGGGCTCCCAGCAAATACGTTAAGAGGCCAGAGTTTGGATCCCTTTCTAGCCCTTACCATTGGCAGCAGCTTCCTTCAGAGTATCTGCTCTTATAATCAGACTCTAAGTCCGTGTCTGGTGTCATAGCCCATTTTTTGGCCTCCATAATCCATTGTGTAACCCGGTTATCTTGCTTAATGGAAACTATACGGGTTTTGGAAACTTCAGTATTCCTCATCCAAGGTTTATCTTATTTACCTATATTCCTTGTCATTTATACAGATAAAATATCGGTAGTATACTGGACCAAGATTACATCATCTCAGTTATGTATTTTGATTTGTAATTTCAGTTTATTTTCTTCCTCAACTTTCTGGATACCAAAGCATCAGCCCTTTCACCCTCGGCTCCCTCTCATTTCCTCATGGAGACTCGGGTCTGGCAGCATCCTCCAGGAGCAGATAGGTCAGGGTTTCACTTGTCTCGGACTCGGGGGTGAATCTCAGTCAAGGCAAGGGGGTTTGAGTTAATATAAGAGCCACAGAAAACAAGGAGGCAAATCTATGTCTTTGCATTTCTATTCCCAGCTGCGGCCACTTTGTTGGTCCTTCCTTCCGCTTTCCTCCTCCACCAAGCTGGAATGTGTTCTTCTGGTTTACTGCTTTTTAGATGGCAAATATTTAACTTTTACTGAGAGGTCCATGTGACAAAAATTTATTGAACATTTTCTGTATTGGAGGTATTGTTCCTAGAACGGGAGCTAAAACAGTAAGTGAAGCTAGGCAACTAATATCCTACTAGAGAAAATAGAGAAGGCCACTCATTGCCAACCAGCTCTGTATTGGAACACTCCATCATCACAGAAACGTGCTCCTGTTGTCACTTGTTAAACAAGTAAAAGACAAGCCCTCCAAATTCCTTCTCTTGACTCACTTATCCCAGAGCCACTGGTCCGTTTCCTCCCCTGTTCCTGCAACACCCCCCCCCCCCCCCCCACAAAGAGCTGCCTCCACTCTCATTCCTAATGGTTGGTTTTCTCTTAAACCTTCCCAGTCAGACCTTCACCACCTACCTCTCCATCAGACCACCCCTCTTCACACACACGAGTTATATCACATGCACCACATCCAGCTTGCCCAGGCTATCCTCCAGCCTTGACAGAGGTCCCTGTCCTGCCCTTTGACACACTCGCCTCATTGGTTCTCAGGGCTACATCTTCCTATCAGAGTGCCATCATTCAGCTTCTTCCTCCTTGACTGGTCCCTCCTTACCTCCTTTGCTAGTTCTTTCTCCCTGACCTACCTTCCTAATTCACAGTGGTCAGTGTCAATTCTCCTTGTTTCCTTTCTCTGTAAACTCACTCCTCGGTCGATGCCATCCAATGTCATGACTGAAAGCACCACAGATGTTTAGGCAGCTTTCTAAGTAAACTCCCCAGCCAACACGGTCTCCCCTACTGGGCCTCGCCTCTCCCCCGTGGACCGTCACAGTCTTGCAGCTCAGGGACCCAAATGCTCACAGTTGTCGTTGCTTCTGTATTCCTGCCAAATCCAGGAGCTAGTTTTCACTGGGTTCGAGCCATGACCTCGCTCACCTCCATCACTGTAACGGTCTCCTAACAGATCCTCCTTGTGTTGGCCCATCTGTAGCCTGTCTTTGGCACTGCAGCCACATCTGTCCTTTCCATTTCAAGTCAGGCCCTGCCTTCCCTGCTCAAACCTCTTCAGCGACCTGACGGCTTATAGTCTTTGTTGTAGCTTTCTCTTCCTCGAGCCATTTTCTGCCAAATCTCCCCTTGGGTAGCTTTTTCATTTGTTCCAAGCCTTGGTACAGATCTGCCCTCCCCAGCAGCCCTGCCTGAGCTACCCTAAATAGAACTGGAGTCTGCCTCCTTCCCCACGCCCAGGTCCTGTCCTAGCACCACCTTTCTGTACTCCCCATTTAATCCTTTCCACGGTACTTACGTGTCCTAAAGACACAAATGAGCTTACTTGTCATCTCAACTATCTGTGGTTTCTCTCCCCTATGACAACACAAGCTCCACCAGGGCAGGGAGATTTTCTGTTTTGCTCACTGATGAATCTCAGGTGCCTACAGTTGGGTCTGGACCACGATAATGAATGAATCAAGAAATATTTGTTACATGAATAAGCAAATGGGGTAAGGTGGCTAACTGCTTATTTGCATATGCAGGAGGAGCCATGAATGAGCCCTGGGCTGGAAGTGGAGATCAGGACCACCTCACAGAAGACATCATTTTTTTAAGTTTATTTATTTACTGAGGTGGGAAGGGGAGAGAGAAACCTAAGCAGGCTCCATGCCGATGCAGGTCTCAATCTCATCAACCATGAGATCACGACCTGAGCCAAAATTAAGAGTTGGATGCCCAAGCAACAGAGCCACCAAGGCACATCAGAAGACATCATTTTTATTTGAAGTAAAGGGTCAGAACTGCCAGGTGGAAAAAAACGCAAGAAAGGTATTCTAGGCAGAAAGGAACACTTGCTCAAAGGCAAAGTGTTACAAACGCATCCAGTCTCCTCCTCTCTTCTCCAAGCTGCTTTTCACTTCTCCCTCTCATCCCATCCAAACCTACGTTATCTACCCTGCTTGCTCCTGGCTGCACCGTCTTCTAAACCCAGGCAACATACCGTCTTCTTGTGCCAAAACTTTCTCATTCCAAAGATAGGATGTTTCTCTACTAAGATGTCAGAAGACCATTTCCGGGCAGGATCCTTCTGAGTGATCTTGCTTCAGCAAAGCCCTAATAACCATCTTAATATTAGAGATTTCCCCTTTGCCTTAGTTTTCTTTGCTTCAAATCCATACCCGCCCATTATCCAATTCTGCCTTTACCTCCTTCAAATCTTAGGTGCAGATGTGCCTCCTATAAAACATTATCCCAACATTCCTATCCAACTCAGATCATATTTGTTCTAGGCTTTTTACATTCCTTCCCCTCCAAGTATAAATATAAAGTTTCTGCTCCATCTCTGGCCTCCCAACCACACTCAAGATGAATTGTTTAGTGACCTTAGCTAAACTTCCAGATATATGGGGGCTGGCCTCAAGGTTGAATAATGGAAGGCAACGTCTTGCCCTTTCCTTCCTCAGAGGGTAAGGTTTCCACATGACTCCAAAGACAGTCTCAAGCTACAGAATAGTCCCCCTTATCCACGGTTTGCCTTTCCACAGTTTCAGTTACCTGTGGTCAACTGCCGTCTGAAAGCAGACGGTCCTCCTTCTGACCTACATCAGAAGGCCACTAGTAGACTAATGCTGTGTCACAACACCTACATCATTCACCTCCTCCATCTCATCACCTAGGCATTTTGTCATCTCACATCATCACAAGAAGGGTGAGTACAGTACGGTAAGATATTTTGAGAGAGAGAAAAGCCACATGCACATCACTGTTATTACCGTATATTGTCATAATTGTTTTATTACTGTTGTTGGTAACTCTTATTGTTTGTTACTTACAAATTTAATTCTATTTATAAATTAAACTTTATCATAGGTATGTATGTATTGGAAAAAACATAGCATATATAGGATTTAGGACTATTTGTGGTTTCAGGCATCACTCGGGGTCTTGGAACGTATCCCCTAGAGATAAAGGACCTTGTTTCTCTGCTCGCTTATGTCCTGCTGACATTCACTCCCTGGATACTTCACCTGGGAAATCAAAGTCAGCATAACCAGGTCAAGCATTATTTCTCCCTGAAACTAGTTCCCCACACCTGCTTCAATCCCCAGGTCACAATTCACAGAGATTCTGGCTACTCATCTCTCTCCCTCACACCCCACCCAATATAGCAAACACACACACACACACACACACACACACATACACACAAAACAAAACAAAAAAAACCTGATGGTTTCCCCTTACATTGTCTTTTTTAAATTATTATTTAATTTTCTTTTAATATTTCTAATTACTGTTTTAATTCAGTTTCCAAAACTGAGAGATATTGAGTCGGTGTTGGAAGAAACTTGAGGAAATACCAATTCTCTTTGGAGCTCCCATAATCTTGGGTTTCATTGGATCATGAAAAATATCTTTTTTTAATATGAAATTTATTGTCAAATTGGTTTCCATGCAACACCCAGTGGTCATCCCAACGGGTGCCCTCCTCAGTGCCCATCACCCAGTTTCCCTTCCCTCCCACCCGCCATCAACCCTCAGTTTATTCTCAGTTTTTAAGAGTCTCTTATGGTTTGGCTCTCTGCTTCTCTAACTTTTTTTTTTCCTTCCCCTCCCCCATGGTCTTCTGTTAAGTTTCTCAGGATCCACATAAGAGTGAAACCATATGGTATCTGTCTTTCTCTGTCTGACTTATTTCACTTAGCATCACACTCTCCAGTTCCATCCATGTTGCTACAAAAGGCCAGATTTCATTCTTTCTCACTGCCAAGTAGTATTCCATTGTATATATCAACCACAATTTCTTTATCCATTCATCAGTTGTCAGAAATTGTGGATCATGAAAAATATCTTAACTGTATCATACATTCCCATCAATTCATAAAAATAAAAGATCTTTTAACACTACCACAAAAAAAGAATAATAAGGAGGCTGAAGTTTCTTGCCCCATAAGACAATTCTGTCTGTTGTCGAAGAACTTCAGTCTGTAAACTGAGTCCTTCCAGTGACCTGAAGTCTGACATCCACCCGTTATCCCTAGTTCTGCTTACGGAAAATCCCTGTCGGTCTGGTCCAGATTCGTGCTTTAGACACTGTTTTCACCATCATCATAGAAATTTCACCGTTTGCCAAATGGGTCCCTGTACTTCGTTTTAATCTTTTTGTTTGCGATGCATCCCCCCAAGACCACACTTCTTCCCGAGTCAGTCTGTAGACATCTAACCATTTGGGGGTTCAAGTCCACCACTGTCTTTCCTTGAGCGTCTACGGTGAACACCAGTCTCCCCCACCAATCTCTCCCCTGCCGAATTCCCAGTAGTCCTTCCTCACTTTGCCTCCAACTATACCCTGTCAAATGCTGCAGTGTTTTCCATTCATTATTTTATTCCAAAGCAACTTTCTGTGAGGATTTTGAAATTAAAGATGTCTCACTTTACGCCCCGCCTCCTGGAGGATTTGGCACAGCGACCCATGTCTCAGTTGTGGCGGGAAATGAAAGAATCGATGGCAGCCAGG